GGACCAGCAGTTAGCATAATGGCTATGTTGCTGGACTCCCATGTAGTCGACTGAGGTTTGAGTCCCGGACCCGGTGGCTTAAACTCACGCCGGGCGTATGCACGTGCATGCCCAAGATCCCAAGAGGAAAATGGAGAAGGGATTGTGCTGTGACCATCCCCCCTGGGGAGTGATTTCTCACTTTCTGTCTCTGTCTCTTTCTGGCCAGCGCATGTGCCCTATAGCAAAAAACTCTCAAAAAAATAAAAAATAAAAATAAATAAATAAATAAAATGAAGTTCTCAAACACATTTCTAATAATTCTCCTAGCCAATTCTCATTAGGTTACATTATAAAAGGTTAATGTATGGCATTCATATCTATTTATTTGTCCTTAAAACTATTGGTTGTTTTTAGAAACCTCTTAGCCCATCTTTTTAAACCAACCAATAAAAAATAGCAAAGAAAACAAAACTGAACTACACTTTAAGTTCTGGGTAAATGTGTTTATTATTTTCTCTTGCAATAAAAATGATTTTTTAAAAATAATTATTTATTTAATTTTATTTATTCATTTGTTTATTTTCATTTGACCAGGGAGACACAGAGAGAGAGAGACAGAGGAAGAGAGGGAAAGGGAGAAAGCAAGCCACCAGATCCAGGACTCAAGCCATGGTTGGCCACGTGGAAGTGTCCAGCATGTTAAACCACCATACCACCGGCTAGTCCCTGAAGCAACAATTTTTTAAGAATTATTTATTTTATTTTATTTATCATTATATATATCTTTTTCTTTTTCTTTCTTTCTTTTTTTTTTTTTTTTGAGAGAGGTTTTTCGCTATAGGGTGCATGCATTCACCAGATAGAGAGACAGAAAGTGCGAAATCATCCCCTGGGGGATGGCCGCTCCTCAATCCCTCCTTTTCATTCTCCTCTCAGGATTTTGGGCACGCACCCACATGCGCCCAGTGTGAGTTTCAAGTTGCCAGGTCAGGGACTTGAACTACGGTCGAGTATGTGGGAACCCAGCAACATAACCATTACACCATCTGCTGGTCCCTACTTGTTATTATTTTATTTATTAAATTTAATTTTTTTCATATGCGTTCCCCAAAGAAAGAGAAACACTGAGAGAGGGAGAAAGCATCCCCCAAATGGAGTGTGGTTATACCACAATCCCACGATCCCGTCTCCATTTTTCCGTGCTGTAGAAATTTGGGACATGTGTGCGCACTCTCACAGCATGTTTTTAAACCCCCTAGCACTGATACTGAAACTGCAGTCATCCATCTGGGATCTGGCTCTCTTAACCACCAGATTATAGGGCCAGACCAGTTAGTTGTTCTTAAGTTTATTTCTTTCTTCCATGAGCAAGAGAGACACAGAGAGACAGCACCTCCAACAGGGTCCTCATGCCTCAGTCCATGTACCCCAGCCTTACTCTGCCCCAGGTCATGGGCACGCATGTGCCTAGTGTACTCAGCGAGGTCTTCAGACACAAACCCAGAACCTTCCATGTGGGTCAGCTTGCAGGGTGTCGTGTTTTCACTGCTGCGTCACAGTATGGGCCCCCCTGTTAGCTTTTGACAATACTACTGCTAGCCATTCATCCTGTCTCCATTTTCTATGTCTTCAGTTGCATGTGGAAATAACACCCAGGCTCACCTGTACTTTCTCATTCCAGATGAAGGGAGAAGCTGGAAGTACGCTACGTAAGGAGAAGTCGAAGCAGGTGAAGATCAGCACCCTGCCCACCGCGCTGGGGAATCAGGCTGGCGATCTCTCCCGTACTTGCTGTGTATCTGCGGGCTCCCTGAGCATGAGGGTGGCTGCCTCATGGTGATGTCCTCAAGTCAGTAACTGAGCAGAGAACACTGGACTCCAAACTACCGCATATCCACAGTCCCTTTGCAGGCATGAGGGAGTGGCCAGACTCTGTGGAACGTACTCATCTTTCTTTCTCTCTCTTTTTTTTATTGAGAGAGATTTTTGCTATAGGGCGCATGTGCTTGCCTGAGAGACAGAGAGAAAGAGAGAGACAGAAAGCGAGAAATCACCCCCCAGGAGGATGGCCATGCCACAATCTCTTCTCCATTCTCCTCTTGGGCACGCACACACACATGCCCGGCATAAGTTTAAGCCACCCAGTCCGGAACTCAAACTGCAGTCGACTACATGGGAGTCCAGCGACATAGCCATTATGCTAACTGCTGGTCCCAACGTGTATTTTTTTTTTTAAAGAATTGTTTAATTTAACTTTATTTTAATTTGACCAGATAGGGACAGCATGAAAGAGAGAAAGAGAGATGGAAAGAGAAAGCAAGCCGCCAGGTCCAGGACTTGAACCACATTCGGTCAGTGGGAGTCCAGTGCCCTTAACCACCATGCCACCTGCAAGCCCTGTTTTTCAAAAAGAGTTTTAAAGGAATGCTTTTATTAACTTTATTTGTTTATTTATTTATTTAAATTTGACCAGAGAGAGACAGTAAGAGCAAGAGAGAAAGCAAGCTGCCTGGTCCAGGATTCGAACCACAGTCAGCCATGTGGGAGTCCAGTGCCCTTAACCACCATGCCACCTGCTGGCCCCACCCATGGTTTCTTCTTGACCTCTAGAATGGCCTGCACGAATCTTCCTGGAGGGCAGAGGAATTCTTAAAAGTCAGAAAATGTGTTCAATTTTCTTTTTTTTTTTTTTTAAGAATTATCGATTTAATTTTATTTATTATTATTTTTAAATTTGCTGTAGGGCTTTTGTGCTCACTGGAGAGAGACAGAGTGATAGCCAGGTCCAGGACTTGAACTGTAGTCAGCCAGGTAGGATTCCAGCACCTCAGCCACTAAGCCACCCGCTGGCCCCTCAATTTTCTCTTTCCTTCAAATGAAAAAGGAAGGTGGGTTTCAGAAAACAGGCCTGGTCTTGAACTCAGTGAAGTCCCTGGGAAAGGCCCTCCTCCTCACCAAGTCTGCAGATCTTCGTGGTGGCTGCCTCAACCTTGTCTGCCTATTGGAATTACCAGGGGAGCTTTGAAAACATTGAGGTCAGGGGCCCACCCCCTGAGACTCATGTGATTGGCTTGGAAAGGATCCCAGGCCTCAGGAGGTTTCTGAGCTCCCCAGGTGATTCCAGTGTGCAGACAATGCCAAGAGGATGGGTGATATATTACAGCTGCTAGAAAATGCCTCTGTCCTCTGAGTGATGAAATTGCCTTCTGGGTTCTCTGGAGTCAGGTAAATAAGCTTCTCTCTTCCAACCTTGATCTCTCATTTTCATAAACACACCCATGTCCAGCCCAAGAGCTCTGGAGGAGGAGGAGCTTCCCACAGATGCTGGGGAAAGGTCAGCAGCTATGCCTCCCCGCTGTGGGTGAGACCTTGACTGCCTATCACTCTGGTTATGGCTCAGCAGTGAGCTGGATGTAAAGGCAGGGTCTTTGCTAAGGTCGGGCATTTTCTTTTCTATTTTTGGAAGAGAGATTTGTGCTATAGGGCCTGTGAGCTTACCGGACAGAGAAAGAGAGAAGGTAAGAAGTCATTCCCAGGGG